CAAATGAAATCAATGAGGTACTAAACAACTATGCTGACATAATGCCACAGAGCTTACCCCAAACATTACCACCTCGTCGAGGCATTGATCACGAAATCGAACTCATCCCTGGGGTTAAACCGCCAGCGAAGAACGCATACCGGATGGCTCCGCCCGAGCTAGCGAATTAAGGAAATAACTGGATGAGTTGCTAAAGGCGGGATTCATCCGCCCGACAAAGGCACCCTACGGAGCCCCCGTACTGTTCCAGAAGAAGAAGGATGGGACGTTGCGTTTGTGCATAGACTATATAGCCTTAAACAAGGTGACGGTACGCAACAAATATCCACTGCCGATAATATCCGACTTGTTCGACCAACTTCACGGGGCCAAGTACTTCACGAAGTTGGACTTACAATCAGGGTATTACCAAGTACGTATTGCCGAAGGGGACGAGCCCAAGACGACATGCGTAACAAGATATGGGGCCTTCGAATTCCTAGTAATGCCCTTTGGCTTGACAAACGCTCCAGCTACTTTCTGCACGTTGATGAACCAAGTTTTCTACGAATACTTGGATCAGTTTGTCATAGTATACCTCGACGACATAGTGGTTTATAGCACAACCCTAGAGGAACACAAAGTGCACTTGAAGCTGGTGTTCGACAAGCTACGAAAAAACCAACTGTATGTCAAGAAAGAGAAATGTGCATTCGCACAAACATGCATCAACTTCCTTGGACATGTCGTCAAATGTGGACAAATTAGTATGGATAGCGATAAGATAAAAGCTATCCAAGAATGGAAGGTTCCTACTTCAGTATCCGATTTGCGGTCCTTCTTAGGATTAGCCAACTACTATAGGCGGTTCGTCGAAGGGTTTTCACGACGAGCCGCCCCATTGACAGAGCTGTTGAAGAAAGACCACACTTGGTCGTGGTCAAATGATTGTCAAATGGCCTTTGAAGATCTGAAAACAACCATGATGAGGGGTCCTGTCCTCGGATTGGTAGATGTTACAAAGCCATTTGAAATAGAAACAGACGCTTCCGACTTTGCCCTAGGTGGGGTCCTTATTCAGGAAGGCCACCCCATCGCTTTTGAAAGTCGAAAGCTCAATGACGCCGAACGTAGATACACTGTCTCCGAAAAAGAAATGCTGGCAGTAGTCCATTGCCTTCGAGTCTGGAGACAATATCTCTTGGGATCACAGTTCGTAGTGAAGACGGATAACAGCGCCATTTGCCACTTCTTTGATCAACCAAAATTGACGGCAAAACAAGCCCGGTGGCAGGAGTCGTTGGCTGAATTCGACTTCAAGTTCGAACACAAAGCAGGGAAGAGTAATCAAGCAGCCGACGCACTGAGTCGGAAGGGCGAACATGCGGCCCTGTGCATGTTAGCCCATATTCACTCAAGTAAGATCGATGGATCGATGCGCGACATCATCAAGGAACATTTACATAAAAACCCATCGGCCAAAGCCGTCGTCGAACTAGCTAAAGCTGGGAAAACACGACAGTTTTGGGTTGAGGGAGACCTTCTGATGACAAAAGGAAATAGATTGTATGTCCCAAGAACGGGAGAACTGAGGAAGAAGCTCATTCAGGAATGTCATGATACCTTATGGGCCGGACACCCTGGGTGGCAAAGAACATACGCTCTAATAAAAAAAGGGTATTTCTGGCCAAACATGCGAGACGACATCATGCAATACACCAAGACGTGCCTCATCTGTCAACAGGACAAAGTCGAGAAAGCCAAAGTCTCAGGACTCTTGGAACCTCTACCTGTGCCGACAAGACCCTGGGAAAGTGTATCTCTGGACTTCATAACACACCTCCCAAAAGTCGGGGAATATGACGCTATCTTGGTTATCGTAGACCGATTCTCAAAATATGTGACGTTCATCCTCACTCCCAAATTATGCTCGGCCGAACTCACAGCTCAACTATTTTTCAAACACATTGTAAAGTTATGGGGTATTCCGTCGAGCATCATCAGTGATCGGGATGGCAGATTCATTGGGACATTCTGGACCGAGTTATTCGCCTTCTTGGGAACAACCTTAAACATCTCCTCGAGTTACCACCCTCAAACCGATGGTAGACATAACGGTTCAATTTCTTGCTCGAAGAATACTTACGTCACTTCGTCGACGCTCGCCAGAAGAACTGGATACACAACTGTTAGATGTCGCCCAATTTTGCTTTAATTGTTAAACCAGCTCGTCTACGGGAAAGAGTCCCTTTGAAATTGTAAGTGGACGACAACCGACCTTACCCCATATTATTGATCATCCTTATGCAGGAAAAAACCCTCAAGCTCACAACTTCACAAGAGAATGGAAGCAGACAACAGATATAGCCCGGGCATATTTAGAGAAGGCTTCCAAGCATATGAAAAAGTGGGGAGACAAGAAGCGTCGCCCCCTTCAATTCCGAGCAGGAGATCAAGTCCTCATCAAGCTGAAACCAGAACAGATCAGATTTCGCAGCCGAAAGGACCAGAGACTAGTTCGAAAATATGAAGGCCCGGTTGAAGTCCTTAAAAAGATCGGGACTACCTCCTACCGAGTTGCACTCCCCACATGGATGAAAATGCACCCAGTAATTCATGTGAGCAACTTGAAGCCATACCACCCTGACCCAGACGACGACCAACGAAATGCACTCACAAGACCGAGCATCGATCTGAGGCAAAAAGAAACAAAAGAAGTAGAGGAGATCCTCACCGACAGGGTTAGGAAGATAGGAAGACCTGTACGGACGATTCTTGAATTCCTTGTCAAATGGAAGAATCTCCCTACAGAGGAAACCAGCTGGGAACACGCCGAAGATCTGAACTCCGCCGCCACCCACATCGCTAGGTTTGAAAGTAGTCGGTTGACGGGGTCGTCAACCAATTAAGTGGGGGAGGATGTCACGGTCATGCTCGTCCAGGGCGTGTTGCCCATGGCCGCATGCCTATGGCAAGCCAAACCCTTGTCATGTCTTTTCATTCTAGTGTTTTTTCTTTTGTAGTTCTAGGGCGTATGACGCCTCAAAAATATCATGTCTAGGCCTGCCAGACATGAAATGCCTCAGAATGTACTATAGGGGGATATGACTAGTTGTCAACTTCTCCCTACCCAAGGTTATATATGCTAAGCCGTTGTTATCTCTCTCTTGCTTGCTTATATAACGTCTCTTTCAAAAATCTCTCTTTCTAAAATCTCTCTCTACCTTCGTTTACCAAAACCTTCTTTCAAAACCGAGGCTAGAGGCTTGATCATATGTCGCTTGGCCATAGGTGACGCAAGAACAAATTGGCTTAACTCACTTGTCGTTGGAAAGTGAGTGCCGCACAATCGCTAGTCCGCTGCCTTTAAAAGTGCGATTGTGTCTCCTAGCAACATCCAACTGTTCCTAAGATCAGTAACTACCTACCACTGTACCTCGCAAGGCCGGGTCAGTCACTACCTGTCTTACGCCCTTGTCGACTCAAATCAGTAAAACTACATGCCTTAGGAACAGTAACTACCTGTCTTATGCCGCTTGGCTGGATCAGTAAAAGGCCATGGCCACTAAGCACCTCTTATCACAGTAATATATTATGATTACCCTCAACCCCTTGTGGGTGACTATGAAAACGGTACACTGTCATTATGTGCTTCCTAACTTATAATTACTAGCACCTAATAATTCATTCAACACTCAAAGGGTAGCAATGGGCTACCCAAGCCCCACGCCCAATGCCTAACAAAGAACCACGGCGACAATACGTCGCCATGCTAAGTCACATAATAACCATAATAACCATCTAGCTCAACATAAAAACATATCATTTCATATGCCTATACGAAATTTCACATTCAGGCCAACGAAACTAAATAACCATAACGACAACCAAAGTACAGCCACACACATTATTGAAGTACCACCTCCATGAACTAACTATATCCATTCTTACATACATTACTAAACTTTCTAGCCACAAGTCCAAACCGACTCCTAAAAGCAATTACTTAAAAACTTGCTCTAGATGGTTACTTACCTGATCGTAGACTTCCCAAAACTTTATCAAGTCTTCAAGTGTCCCTTGACTAAGCTTGGAATTTTCCTATAATAAAACATTTATGGAACGTGTGAGTCAAGTACCTAAATCTAGATAAAGACGAATCTGATGGTGTGAAATGGGAAAACAAATCGAGTTTCGGTTCTGTACAGGTGGGTCGGGTCAGATCGTGCCCCCTCAGTTTTCAGCCTCTTCTTCCCGCCTCCTTCCTGATCTTTCTTTCCTCTCAACACCCTATGTCTTCTTCTTCACAAGGACTCACCAACTTCCCTTGACAATAACCTAGGTACATCGATCCCGTGAAAAGTATTAGGGTTTTGGAAAAAATAACAACGAAAATCACACCACTATAACTTACCTTCGGTGTACTCCCTTCCTCAACCGTTCGGCCCACCGTCGCTAACGAGTGCCTCAAGCTCCGTCGTTCGTCTCCACCGCTCCACCCTCTCCTCTGTCTTCTTCTTCGTTTTTTTTTTTTTTTTTTTTTCCTTTTCGAGCTTACCCTCAAGGTTTTAAAATGGAAAAGTTGTCACATTCTTATAAAGGGTGTTTCGTTCTCCTCCTCAACCAATGTGGGATATTACACAACCCGACCTTTATAGTTTGTATTGGGTAGTCCAAATTGATTGAATTCTCGAGTCATATGAACCCCTTAAATATATGTGCTATATAGTATATTTTCATAATAGATTTTGAATGCAAATTTTAAATCAAATTAATGTTCCCACTAATGGAATTATGTTTAGGTTCATAGGTATTGTTAATTGANATTAAAGAGATGTGTAGAGCCATTATAGTATGAAAAGGGTTTCCTTTAATGGTACAAAAAAACATTATATTTTTTGTCCCCATACTTATTACATTAAAAAAAAAAAAAAAAAAAAAATAAAGAGAATGAAAAGCATCAAAATAAAGGAAACCCCATTCAAGTTCATACATTTGCCAGCCCAAAGAACATGTTTTTCTTAAAAAAAAACAAAAAGATTTTCCTTTTTCTATTTCTTTTTCTTTTGTTTATTATAACCTTGAAGCCCATAACTGTTGATCAATACTTCTCTCTCTGCTCCATTCTTGAGCTGCTAATGGCAAAACCAGAAGCTAAAGACTTCGAAGGGACCTCAGAACCCTTCAACTCTAAGGTAAAATGTTCTTGAATTGTTCTTCATTTTCAAATCTTTCTTATTTTCTGCTAAAATTTTGCAGACATGTTTGTTGCGAGTCTCCATTCACTGTGAAGGTTGCAAGAGGAAAGTGATCAAGATTCTCCATAATATTCATGGTACTGTTCTTCATTTTTTCTTCATTTCTTTACATTTTGATCGCTTTCTTTTACTCAAATCCTAATTTCCTCGGTTTTTCCTTCATTTTCTTAGATTTTGATCGTTTATTTTGTTAAAAATTCAAAATTCCTCTCGTTTCCTCATCTGGGTATGCCTTATTTTCCCTCTAACATGATTTTCTTTCATCAAATTCTTCATTTCTTCACATTTCTTTCCCTTCCTCAAAATTTGTTCATTGTTTTCTCTTAAAAAATCCAAAATTTCCATTGTTGTTCATCTGGGTGTTCTTCAATCTCCACAATTACAGGAGTTCATGCAGTAGAAATAGATCGAAATCAGCAGAAAGTCACAGTAACAACGAATATAGACGAACAAACATTGATTAAAAGGTTAATCAAGGCAGGAAAGCACGCAGAACCATGGCCAGAAAGAATACCCATCTCAAAAAACATCAAAGAAAAGCAAAACGCTATGGAAATCCCCGTCTCTGTAAACAGCGCCGCCGTGCACGACGGCGGAAAGCAGAAACAGAGCACGGAAACAGAGGCTCCGGCGAAAGAAGTGCCAGTCCCATCAAAAAATGAGGAAAACTGTGGAATTAGTGGAGCTGCCCAGATACTTGAAATTAGTAATGATGGAGACGGAGCTGCGGCGAAGATTGGCCGCGCCACCGTAGAACGAGTTGTGGAGTTTACGTCGGGAGGAAGTGGTGATAAGAATATCGCCGGTGAGACTCAACCTGGTGGGGCAGGTGGCGGTGCGGCAGCTGTTGCAAGTAGCGGTGGCGGCGGAGAAGGGAGGAAGAAGAAGAGGAAAGGGCAGAAGAAAGAGAAGAGTGACGGAGGAGGAGGAGGCGGCGGCGCTGTTGTCGGAGATATGGAGGGTCCACAGGTCGTTCCTCCACCTGGCAGCATAGGATCAGCCACTCCTCATGATCATCACCATCATCATGATCCAACTCCATCATCCAATCACGCCCCTCCATTTAATCAACCATACAACCATTCGGTACATACGATCTCATCCCAACCGACTCACGTAACAAGTTACAATACGATTTCACCTCAACCGATTCACATCACGAGTTATAATACGGTCTCATCCCAACCGACTCACGTGGCAAGTTATAACACAATCTCATCCCAACCAACTCACATGGCGAGTTACAATACGACGCACCCAACTACTACCTATGGTTCTTACTACGTCGAGCCACTGCCATATTCAGTTGTAGTAAGAAACACTTCACCACCATCACCACCACAACCACAACCATTGGCAGAACTATCAAACTCTCCAACGTCTAATCCATTCGACTTCTTTAGCGATGAGAATCCCAGTGGTTGCACGGTCATGTGAGAATGAAAATTGTGCTTGTTTGGACAATTTTGGACATCAAAAAGACATGAAACTTGCACAAGTTGTATGAGTATTTGGGGGTAGAATTGTAATATACATGTATATGGAGGGATAAAGTATGAAAAGAACAAAAGAAAAGGAAAAGGGGAAAAAAAGAACAACTTTGTGGGTTATTGTGCTTAGCTTTATTTAGTGTACTTCTTTTAAAGCTGCACTTTAGTCTATATTTTCTTTAGGTTAAATTATAAATATGTTTTTTTTTTAATTTTTAATTTTTAATTTCGTGTTCTATTTAATTTATAAATTTTATAATTTTTTTATGTCATTTATAGATTTTGTGTTTATTAATGTTATAGTAATCATATCTAAGTTTTTTTTCAATCTTATAAATTTTATAATAAGACGTTTAACTTTAAAAAATGTCGGACATATATTCAATCTTTATTCGCTCAAGCAGTAGATTCTATTCTAGGCATGCCGTCCTTTTGAATTTCACACGTTCTAGTGGACGTGCGCGTTGTCTTGCTAGTGCCTCTCTTTTTCAAAGTTTAGGAGGTTTTTTGGTTTCGCCTTTCCCCTTGGGCTTGACCTTTTTTCACTCTGTATGTTGTAACTCATTATAGGCCCGAGAAACAAATAGAAGATGTGTTGCAATTCTATGAACAAAAAAGGGGAGATTCCGTTTTTTTAGTTATTTAGATTTATGGAAATCCACAACGGAAGCCTGTGACACTTTCATAGTCTTGTGCCTCTCCAGAAAGTGGAAGAGCCAAGCTCATTTGAAGAAGCGATTGACCTGATTATTTTGAGATCATATCTAGTATTCAGAGTTTGCCTCGATTTGGTACTGCTCTCGCGGCTCGCACTTCTCTTGGCCCCTTACGATGAAAGCTTGCCCTTTTGGTGGGTACACTAAAGAATTGATTATACACTAAATTGCTGCAACTATATGCTTTAGTAGTGTTGACAAAGAAGAACAACCCCCCTTGTTGTTGATAGATAGAGAGCTTACTGCCTCGCCTTTCTATGCAATAGTCCACCAGTAGAGTAGGAGAGGGTTACTATACATATAAGAGTCTTCTCGACGTTCGTGGTAGGTGTAGGAGCTGAGCGAAGCGGTAGCCAAGCTCTGGTGGTGATGCAAGTGCGCGGTGAGTAATTTTATAATTTTATCCATGTAATGGTTTTTTTAACAAGGAGTGGTTGGAATTTATTTTTAATTCATATACGATCACATGGTAGCTCCCATTTTGATGTATTATTCTTTGATCTTTGATATTGTCGCTTCCATAAGTTAGTTAAAGTCTTCTATACGAGGAACACAGTACTTGTTCTTCAGTGTTCTTTTATTCAATTCCGTATAATCCATGCACAAATGCATTAATCTATCATTTTTCTTGACAGATAACATGAGTGCGCCCAAGAAGATATGTAGTACCTTGAGTTTTTTTTTATAATTCTCCTGGTGCCATGAGTTATGGGGCCCTACCCGATTCAAGCTCTAAGCATAAATCAGCTCGGGACGAGGGTACTCTTGATAAATCGTCTATGAACACATTAGAAAAATAGCATACCATTGATACCACTGACATAGACTTTTCTTCTGCCATGACTCGATTTTCGAAGGTTCGAAACTCGAATTGAGACTAAAAAGGCGAATAAGAAAACAAGTAAAATAAAATAAAAGATAAAATTCAATAAAATTTAAATTAAAAAAAAACATTCAAAAACACTAAATCTAATTATAAGACGAAGTTGTACAAAATTTTACAAAACTAGGAAAATTGTAGGACAAAACAAAAAATACTCCAAAACGAATAAACAGACTGAACAACACCCCTCTGTGACAGTGCAGTTGTCAAAAAGAAAGGAATAAGGGATAAGTATAAAAATATATTCGGTAAGTAAACTACTTGCAGGCTCTCATCACTTTCTTCTCCTAGTGGGTTCCAACAACTTTCCTTTAGTATATAAGAAGTTCGGACTCACCCTTTACAATGCTCTTAGCTATTATGTAGGTCTCAAAGTTTCGATTGATTCCTTATTAATCGTCTACCCGTGTAGTCCCTAGTTCCTCTTCGAGACTGGTTTATGGTGTCACGACGTCAGCCTTGACCCGTTCCTACATTCAATAAACATGTTCATACTAAACGACCTACCCGTGTAGTCTCTGATATCTTCCATGATCGGTTTACAAAGTCATGACATCAACCTTGACTCATTTCTACCCTCAATTGGGGCTCTCATCCTGGCACCTACCCGTGTAGTCCATTGTCCAACCAGGACTGGTTTACAAGTTCACCTATTTCTACGCTCAATGCTTAATATGGGTCCATACCTTGAGCTAACTACCCATGTAGTCCCTAGTTCTTCTCAAAAACCAGTTTAATGGGATCTGAGCATCGACCTGACCCAACTCTACCCTCAATAATAACTCAACTAGTTTCATGATTTGTAAGCTACTTAAATTATGATAAGACATCGTGGAGGCCTACTAGGTTCTTAGGGCGTCCAAGCAGTTTAAACACCATTTTTCAATTCCAGGACGTTCTGGGTTAGCCCATCGGCTTAACTAATCCATAGGTGCATATAGGTCTAACCTCTAATTCTACATGTAAACCACACTGGTTATAGCACCCTAATCTTAATTGAGTTCTTGATGCATGCTCTACTAGGAAAATATATCTATCGACCATCTTTTACACGTAAGATGTGTTTACCCATTCATAGATGTCTATTAAGAACCCTTAATGCATGAAAACCATAAGGTATAAATCATACACACAATCAAACAAGCTCAACGGGGAGATAATATCCATCAAACACCTGGAGCACAGATAAGAATATCCCTTCCTCCATCATACCATAGCTGAAGGCATATAAAACAACATGGTTCTCATAAATCTCAACTTAGGGGCATAAGGGTAATTTTACAATGACATACATATTGTACATGCTCATCTGAAAATGCACTTTTGAAGCATTAACATGTATTATCTAATCATCTAAGGTAAGGAATGCTTGCATGCTAACACGTTCTACTGATCTCTAAAAGTATTACTTGCCTAAAGTCTGTGTGATTACTTACTTGGATGACATGTGTCTTTCCGAGCTAGCTTTACTGCGTATTAGGAGCTTCAAAATTTACGAAATCTCTCTCTCATGTGCTGTCACCTACGCATTTTACTCGTTCGTAAAAAATATCAAGATTTCCAAAATAGTTCTCGATTCTTTTTTATTTTGTACTTAATTTTCATAACTTTATCTACACGACCACCCTTCACTATATTCCTAGCAATTAAGTCTATCCCTGTTGAGGTATTAACATATAGTACATGTAAAAGATTAATTAAGTCACGCATGTAGTAGCGACTTTATTTCAGTAGTAAAAGTAAAGACATTACAATATGAAACTTAGGAGGTTCACCATCTGCCCGTAAGCAGGACTAGGTTACAATTCTATGTATTCTAAAGACTATGCTTTCTTTCTAGTTTGGTACGTACCAAAGTATTGTTTCATATCGAGTATGCTCATAGACCAATGAACTCATTGTTTAACCTTCATCATTAGGTTCTTTCTAATTTACCATGAGTGTGATAGTCGACTATCTCTAAAGCTTGACTTTCCATATTTAGGAGTCGTAAAGTGTTACGATTAACTCACGCTTCAATATGTTTCTCCAATTATGTGTCATCATATACACTTTGAGCTCGTAATTTCAGACTCACTCTCGACCATCTACAGTTCATCTACTAAATTCTTTGTCGGCCTAAAGTACATAATCTGACGATTATACTTACTCTTTATACAAATAGTAATAGTGTCATACAGTTAATGAAGAACCCAATCTATCATTCACAGATAAAACATATCAGAAAACGATACTATTTCACTCCCAAGTTAGTAGATAGTTATATATATAGTAAAATTATGTCGTAACTAAGATATCTGTATACATAATTGTTTATGATTATCAACATGAACTCATCAATATAACCAATACTTATTCTTGCATTTTCTCTCTTCTATCTTTTGTGTTTGATCCCTACGCGTAACAAACGATCTAATAGGTTTTTGAACTTTTTAATATTTTATATCTAATAAATTTTTGAATTTTAAAAACGATATATTAGATCTTTCAACATTTTTTAGACTTGACTGAATTGTTCTTATTATAAATTTTTTAAATCAACAACTCGTATTAACTAATGAACATAACCCGACTCATTAGTTCTCAAAATATTTATTTATTTATATTTAAATAAGGTTGAAATTAAATATATGTACGTAAATTTATTTATATTTTAAAATTAACCATACTAATTTAATTTATAAATTATTTATTTATTTTTGGTGTAATAAATCACATAAAGTGGGACCCAGAAAAAAGAAAACTAGAACCATCCGTACCGGATCCCTCGAAGTTCCAATCTGGACGACGCGTAAGGGAGAGTCAATGTCTTCCATTTGACTTTCTAGATCTACGCTCCCATTAAGCTTCCAGTTTCCACCATGGCCGTCCGTTTCGACCGACTCTCAACCTGCGTTCTTCTCCCCTATAAATTCCCTTTCTTCTCCTCTTCCTCTTCCATCCATTGAACCGCTAAGCATTTCGATTTCCCTACAAAATCAATCATCAAATCGCATCTTTCTTCCGTTTTCCATCTCAAGCTCCTCTGAATTTCCCCCCACGTTTTTCCGCTATGGCTGATTCCAATCCTTCGTCGCAGCACCATGAAATGGTACGATTCTCTCATCACTCGAATTTCTTGTGGTTTGTATTATTGATTTAATTGGATTTGTCGATTTTGTGCGAAATTTCTGTTTTCTGAGATTGTGAGGATTGATTGATTGGATTTTGTGTAGGCGGCTAGGGCAGAGGAGGAGAGGTTGAAGTATTTGGAGTTTGTTCAAACGGCGGCGTTTCGAGCGTCGGAGTGTTTCTTCAACGCTTATGGCTATGCGAAGAACCGGATTGGTCCACTGAGGCCCGGCGTTGAGACTGTGGAGGGCACTGTGAAGTCTGTTGTCGGTCCTTTGTACAATAAGTTCCACGGCGTTCCGATTGAGGTTCTTAAGTTCGTCGATCGCAAGGTTGGTTTTCTTTCTTCTATTACTGTTCTATGCATGTTCTTCATATAATTTCTCTTCGGTTCCTTCTCGGATTGATTTATCAGTTGCCTTCGGTTAATTATCAATTTCAGCCTATGGATTAAAACTTCTCAATTAAGTAATTCTATGGAAAGTCCAATGACTTTT